GGCACAAAGCAGACAGCATCAGGGAAATGACCAGGAACCTGCAAAGATGGCTGAGCGGGGGATGGGGAAGCTAAGTATGTGGGGTTCTGGGAAACTGCATTTCACCCCTGTTCAACTGTACCTGGCAGCCCTACCTCCATCCCACTCCTAATTGGGTGTGGTGGGCAGGTGGGACATCTCTAGATCCCCAGGAAGCTTATTCCTGGGTGATTTATTCTGGTCCCTTCCACCAACCCTAGCCCTCCTATCCCACTCCCCTGTCTACAGAGATCATTCCTGCTCATTTTACTCACTGGCTTTATGACCTTGGGCAAGTCACTTCTCTCTACGCCTCAGTTTCCCGAACTGTAAAGTGTGGGAGTCAGACTGGATTGATGGTTTTCAAATTATGTCTTGAGGGTGACACTCAGGGCCCTCAGAGAGACATCAGGCAGCCAGAGCCCCAGGACCACCATCCAGTTAAGCAGAGATATCTCCTTTGAACATCTTGGGCCTCCGTGCCAGGTCCCATTTAGCAAAAGTTTCTACCACTAAAGCATCATTTGGAATCTGCCAGATGAGATACATCTGCAGCGTAGCTCTCTGCCTGACTGCTCTGCCCCTCCAGCCCTTGGCCTAAGCCGATTCCACACTTCCGCTTTCCTCTCTCCTGCCTCCCCACCCGGGCCCTGCCCTAGGGAAGGAGAGTTACAGCCAGCCAGGCTTCCTTCCAGCTGTTCGGTAGGGCCCAGTCTGTACCCCGCACTGACCTCTGCAGTCAGCTGGTGACCAGGAGCCCTGGTCACTGCCGTCGCCACAGTTGTCCATGCCCCAGGGGTCACACACGAGGCTTGAGGGGATGCACCTGCCATTCTGGCAGCGGAAGTAGGCACCACAAGGTCCTGAGGCCAGAAGCGGAAGCCTGAGGTGAGGATCCTGGTCCGGCCCACGACACAGCAGGGTGTGTGGTCCCATGGTGACAGTGTGGGGGTGTGGGCAGGAGATAGCTGCCGTTGAGGATGTGGATGAGAGCATGGATGAGTGTTTCAGGGGGAGAAGGGTGGAGGACAGCAGCTAACACGTACTGACTTCCAGGCACAGCTGTAAATACTTCACATCCTGGCCCATTGAGGCCCTATAATACCCTTATGGGGCAAGTACTGTTATTAATTTTATTATTTTTTAATTATTATATTTTAAAAATTTTTTGTTGTTGTTTTAGGCAGGTCTCTCTCTGTCACCCAGGCTGGTCTTGAATTCCTAAACTCAAGTGATCCTCATGCCTTGGCATGATCCCAAAGTGCTGGGATTACAGGTGTAAGCCAGGGCGCCCAGTCGGGTGAGTATTATTAATTGCAGTTCCAAGAGGCCCCTTTCCTGGCTTGAGTTGGTTTCTGCTGCCTACAGGCCTGGAGAGTCCTGACCACACCCTTCTCAAACATCTGAAGGGCTGACCCAGCGCGGAGCAGCCAGCATGTGGCATGAGGGCGTGGGAGCTG